AACCGGGGGATGGAATCACCAGCAGTCGTTCATTTCTTTTTGGAGTTAGAATGGCAGCCAAACCAACTTTCCTTTGATTGGAAATTATTTTCAGAAATGGAAATCCCTGGTGTTTAACAACATGCAATCTCTGCCAACTCCCATGGAAAACAAGGTCCTCTTAGTGTCATATTCAGATCAAATGGCATTCTGTATTATTGTGATCTACACTGGTCCTCCAAAATATGTCGGTAAATACTAGATAGGGTTTCCTATGAGGAGACATTCCAAATGAATTATTTGCTTTCAAATGTTTTTTTTTGCTCCTATCTCCATCTCTGTCTCTGTATCTATCCCTGAATCTTTTGTCAAGTTGAATTGCTTTTTTCATATAGAAGAGCAAGTGACGACAGAGAGATCTAACGGGTTCTTCTCAAACTACTCCCTGTTGGGCAGTGGAGTAGAAGTTTTCTCTCACTTATGGAGACATGGGAGGTTGATGAAAAACATTCTCCCTCCAAATGCTGTTGATTTACTTATCTTTTCCTAAATGATAGTTTTAAAGTTTAAACTTTAGCAAAGAGCCTATTTAGTTACAAATTTGGAATTAGCGAATTAGTGCAAATTAATGAGACTTTATTATTTATAAAGGAATGATCTATGATCTAAAAACCAGAATGATATTTACAATGAGGCATTCATAGGTGTGTTGTCTATAGAAGTTTCCTCAATCCAGTAAAATTTTGTACTCTAAAGACTGAAGTAAGAGTGAGATTATATAAAACTGGTTTCCTTATTCAGAATAGGATCTTTTGTTTTCCCGGTTTTCCTATCAAACATCTCAGAGAAATCATAAAGTAGCTTGTTCAATCAGCTTGGTAAAACAATGCACTTATTAGCTAGGGCGTGGATTAATACTTAAAAAAGTGTACTTTTTAGGCTCAAAATTTCACAGTAAACCTGAAATTGCTCTAAAAAATTAAGTCTAATGAAAAAAGAGGAAGTAAGACTCAGTTGGTAAGTTCTTATCTTTATTTCTCTGTTAGAATATAGTATCTTTTCCCCCAAATTGTCACTACTACTTACACACCTCCCATTCCCTTAGAAAGTATAAAAGAACAATTAATGATGGGAGTAAGGAATTAATGGAAGAAGGGGTGTGTGTGTGTGTGTGTGTGTGTGTGTCCTGAACATGCAGTTGTTCATGAGAGTGGTGGAAGTTTATGTATCTTCCCAGGTATTACGTGAAGTAAGTTTATGTACTGCTATGGTTTGAATGTTTGCCTCCCTCCAAAATTTATATGTTGAAATCTAAACCCAGTTGTGATGGTGTTAGGAGGTGGGGCTTTTGGGGAATGATCTGGTTATGGAGATGAAGCCCTAATGACATTAGTGCCCTTATAAGGGGCTGAAGAGACCCTTAAAGTCTTCCCTTTGATCATGCGAAGACATAGCAAGAAGGCACCATCTATGACCAAAAAGCAGGACCTCATCAGACACCAAATCTGCTGGTGCCTTGATCTTGGAATTCCCAGCCTCCAGAACTGTGAGAACTAACTATTTGTTGTTTATGATCCATCCACCTTATAGTATTTTGATATGTTTTGTTATAGCAACCCTGAACAGACCAAGACATATTCCTAGCCTAATCATGTTCCTAAGTCTTACTTCGGTTTCCCTGAGGGATTCTGAAACCACATGCTATTATACAACTCTCAGATAGTCCTCTGAGAGTTGACAGTTGTTTTTCAACTTGTTTTCCTGAGGGACATATTCTGTGGTGGTGGTCAGGCCATCAGCATGAGCTGAAGTCTACACAAATTTGTGTGCGTAAGTGCAGGTATCGATGTGCTTCCTCCATTCACACGTTTACGCCACAGCAAGAATCAGCACTTCCCTTGTTCGTGTTGGCAGTGTGCTAGAGCTAGAGATGGGGAGACGAGGAGGAAGGCATCACTGCAAGAATAAGGGTTAGAGGTGGAGGAAATAAAAAAGGAGCGATTGGAATAAACAGTGTGGGGATGAGACAGGAGGGTTGGAAAGACAGCAGGGACCTCACGGGTAAGAGTTTCTTCCATGCCAGTCCTGTGCTCGTTGCTTAACAGACTCACACTCTTTCTGTCCTTAACAACAGCAGGCAGGTTCTATCATTATATCCATTTTACTGAGAGCTTGAAAAACCATGAAAATTGGTAGAACTGGAATTCAAATCCTATGTTTATAAGCTCTTAACCATATGCTTTCTAGCAAAATGCTGCCACTGTCTTTACATACTTTAGATGGATAGAAAAATGCCACTACCAGTGTTGCAGGAGTTAATGCTTTCAAAAAGTGACAACATAAAAGGGTCTATAGCATGGAAGTAGAAAAAATGTAGATTGACTCTAAGTCTTAACTGAAGGAAGCTTGTGCTGACATACGGGTCCAGGAGGAATATTGCTTAAACCCTTCATTTTTCTCATTGCTTAAACCTCATTTTTTCTCAAGTGTGAATGGATGTTATATAGTTGATAGTATGTCATAAGAATTAAATGAGATAATGCATGAAAAGTGCCTTGCTCGGTACTTGGCAGAAAGAATAGGATCTTAATGAAAACTGCCCTATTTTGATAATAATTAAGATGAAATCTATCTGACTAACTCCATATTCCAGAGTTACTTTGCTATTGATTTTGTGTGAGTAAATGACCAGTAATCATTGTTCATTACTTTTTTTTTCCTATGGAATACTTATTTGTTTGAATAAGGACCATGGAAGTTGTGGGCTAAAATCAAAACCAATACACCTAAAAATAAAGAAAATCAAACAAATATCTATTAGGTCATCTAGCCCATCATTTATTTTTTTTGTAACAGTGATAGAACATAAGCAGCAAAATTTAAATTGCATTTCAAATCATAGTAATAATTTCGAAGTGTTTTAGAGAGCAGATTCCCTTCCTGAATACTTCCGAGTACACTACTGAAATTTCTTAAAAACTCCCCAAATTAAGTTCAAATTATGGCCCTCCATTTCCCATCTATTGAATATGGGATCCTGGCAAGTCTTTAGTCTACCTATGCTATTTTGCTTCATCAAACAACAATATTGTTAGACTCGAATGAAGAACATAACATGTGTTAGCGTAGTGCCATGTACTTTGTTTACATTCAACAAAAGTGAACCTTACCATTCCCATCACCTAAAAAATAATACAAAATCCATTAATGAAAAGTTTTCTTTATTCTTTCCACAAAGCAAAACGTGTTGTAGAAGGCTCATTGTCTGGGTCTCTCGTTTGTAATATTGCTCCTGAAAAGGCTCAAAATACTGCTCAATTGCTTTCTTGAAGACTAATGCTTTTAGCACGTTAATTAGGAATTTTGCTTATAGACTTCACGATTCTTAAAAAAGGAACACATTTCACAGTTGACAGGAAATGTGTCTTAGAGCTGGTAGTTCTGCTGTACTAGGGAAGGCATTGCTGTCTTGCCCAAAGCAAACTTCTGGGGCCATCTTTGTCGCTCAGAGATTGGATAGCCAATGACAAAAGCTGAGGCTGAAGGAGCTACATTCAGTTTCTTCCAACCCTGGAAATTGGTCAACCCAGCCCAAGCATATTGTTGGTGTTTTATTAAAAGGGTTGATTTTGGGAATGTTGTGTTTGCCATGCAGTGTCATGCCTCAAAGCCTTGGTTTTCAGCCTTTATTTATATGCCTAATTGTTGCTATGGAAATTCAATATTTAAAGAGGTAATTATTGCTGATCTTGTTGCATGTGTCCATTTCTGATGTCCAGCTGTTAGCTCTTTAGCTCCAGTCTAGCAGATTAATTACTGCTATTGATTACTTTGAGTTTCTCTCTTCACACCTGCAGACTGTGTAATTAGCTGGTGGCCTCCTCTGAAAATTAGGAGCAGTTTCATTCTGGCACTTTGCCATTTCCCAGCCATGTGCACTGCACTGATGAACAAAAGCAAATCTATTTTAAATAGAGATATCTGGGTAATGAACTCTTTGTGTTTTTGAACTATCCATGGATAATTCAAATTACCCTCTGTTAGCAAATATTGTACCTCATTTGATGACTATCTGCAAAGAAAAAATTCCAAAACACTAGTTTTTATTCCCATTTCCACCTTGCAGAAATTTGCTCCTGTGTGTGGTTTAAAAAAAACAAAAAAACAAAACAACTTTGTAATTCTGCTGCTGAGTGTATTGGGGTACTGAAATAGGTTTCCTAATGGAGCCCAGTGGAAGCAGCTGAGTTTGCACTCTGAGTACTCCAGGCATATAGGTGTAAATGTTCATCCTTTCGTTAGATTCACACCTTTAGTCTGAGAGACAAATCGCCATTCTTGGGAGTCACTGATATGCATTGGGAATAAAAAGTTTCCAATTAAAAATAAGTTAGAGATACGAGAGAATTATGGAAGGAGACTTCGAATTTCTCTTCCCACCTTTATTTCAGTTAGTAAGACCTTTTTTTTTCCTCCCTGCTCATTGGAAACCAAATCTAGTATTGCCAAACACTGAAATCTAGAGTTCTGCCTCCGATGTCCTGTTGTGATACTTTCTCGTCTGTCGTTGGTTACTGCCTAAACACTCAGGAAATACAAGTTGGTAGTAGAATTGGGAGTGGACTTCCCAAGTAATGACAAGCAATGATTACTCGCATGGCCAGCTGTTCCTCTCCATGCCGACAGGGTCCCACTAGTGTCCCCTTTAGCCATTTAACTTGTGTTGAGTTATTATCTGAAGAGTTATTGCTTATTGTAGGAAAAAAATAAAGTGCTTTCCTCCTGCTCGTGGCATGGATCTGCCAGCTTTCATTTGACGCTTAAAGGGGGTAAGTATGTCCCAAAGCCCACTTAGCACATGAAAGGAAAAAAGTTCAGAAAGTTGTCACTTGTCAGAATGATAAAAGTATCATTCCACCTACGTCAAGCATAAATGTGTTTGGTTGGATCGCAGCAATGTCAGAATGTTCGATTGGCTCCCAGGCAGTCTCTATGGAAGCAAAGAAACAGAACTTCCTGAGGTTCCAGGGAATCAGGTGGGAGACAGGTACGCAGCGGAAAAGAGGGGAAAGAGTAGAGGCATTCACTCATCAACTCAACGAAGCTCTGGGGCATCTGATGGGGAGCCTGAACACCGGCCCTCAGACCAGAAGGTCCCCAGCTGGAATCTCATCATTTCCACTGTTTCCAGATTAAAATTTAAATTGTGTGCTGCCATTTGGAGGCCTTCTGGGCAGGGTCTCACAGAGTCACCAGTTATTAGGAATGCCTCCTATTATCGCAACCCTAAAAGCTATTTGAACAGCAGCCTAATGTGATTGTGATTTCCAAGGACCATTTGCTGTTATTGCAGCTCTGCTCAGATGTGAGTGGGAGCAACTAACCAAAGTTGCCTTCTCATAGCACCAGAGAGGGGCATCAGAGGCACCAGAGAAATATTTAGCTGGCCGTAAATGTAAATTCACCCCAAATAAACAATCTTTTGTTTCCCCCATCTGGGCAAGGTCATCTCTAATTCTGGCAAATAGCAACACTCTTTCCCTTATTAGAGCGTAAACTTTAGACATTCACACTAATTATAATTTTAAGTCAACTGGAAATATGAAAATTGTGAAAACATAGTTTTAAAGGGATACTACAGTAAAATACAAAGGGATAGTTTTACATACTATTCCATACCTGTGGATACTATTATGTCCTTCAAAATACAGGAATTTATACATATATATATATATATATATATATATATATATATATATATAGATGCCACAAAATTAAACGTGCTAACCTTCTGAATATCTGAGGCTGTGCACAGTGTATGTGGTGTCAAGTCAGACATGTCATAGATCTCCTGGTCTATGGAGTTGCTTTACTCATTGGTTTTTTAGCACCAGCAGAAGAGAAACTAAAAGCTAGTTTAGTTTTAGAAACCTGATTTAATAAACCAGTTGAGTTTTTAAGAATATAATGAAGAATGTGCACGTGTGTTTGTGTGTGTGTGTGTGTTCAAAGTTACTGGGAGCATTTAACATCTACTCCAATATGCTACTATAGCATATGTGAAATGAGAGTTGAGAAATTATCTAGTGAATAACAAAAATAGTGCAGGTGATATGTATCAAGTACTTACTTTGTGCCAGGCATTGTGTTAAATGCTTTGAATACAACATATATTTTAACCCTGACAACAAATCTATATCAGGGTGATATAGATTGTTCAGGATTTTACAGAGAAGGACATTGAAGCTTAGAGGATGCATAACTTGGCCATGGTTCCCTCTAGTAAGTGACTTCATTTTTCTACTAAGCCTTACCTTTACCTACTTCTGGCTATTTTATTCCACTTCTACAGCCTTGATGATTTGTTGCTCCATTTATATGAATTCTTTCATATTTGAATTAACCAAATGAACTACTCATAAACTTAGTGTTTTGGGGGCCAACTAGTATTATATAAGCCTTAATATAACATTTCGTTTTTTCTTAATTTATTATTACTTATTACCAGCAATTGTATAAGGGGTTCCAAGATCTTGTTATCATGTCCATGAGAAAAGATTGTACTTAATGGGGCTAGAGCAGAAGTGGACACTCGCACAACTGTTGCCTGACCTGGGTCAGCAAGAATACTCAGTGACTGTCATAAGTTCTGTGGGGAAGCCTTTTTGCCGAATGAATACAGGTTACTATTGATTTTGCTACTGGAACTTCAGGGAATATCTTTCTTCCTCCACAGCCTTGCTGCTGTTTCTTTCTTGCTCTGTACAATTATTTTTGTTTCACTTTGATGCATGAAAAATTCATTCCAAGACAACAATCAGAATAATGTCTCTTTATATTTATGTATAAAACACATAGATATAGTATACATTGCTGTTCCATACACCTCTCTCTCTGTCTCTGTCTCTCTCTCTCTTTCACACACACACACACACACATACAATTGCTCTTCCATGCAGTGATTCTAAGATGTTTTCTGGCAAGGATCTTTAAGGAAATGAAGGGCAGAGGCTTCTCGGTGTCAGTATGTGTGCAAATATCTTCAGTGTCTATGAAAACATCTTCATTTCTTCAATCACAGATTATTGTTCAGAGGGCAGTTGTTTTATGATTATAGCACTCATTAGATAGCCTTCAAGAAATTCTCTTGCAGAAACAGAGGAAATCACATTTTTCTGATCTTATATTTTCCTTTTCTATGTCTAATAATGTCCCATCTCTAGCATCAACTCTTGCCCTAATGAGCTGAAACTACATTAGTGAAATCTTAGGCAGATAAATTGACTCAAACCTTGGTTTGATGATCCTACTTAAGACATTCAATTAATTCTGTTTTGCTACAAGCTAATTTATGACTTCGTATTTATTCAAAAAATGTTGAACATACAAAGCGGTAGGAGACAAAGTAATGAATTATTCTACCTTCCTTCATGTGCTCTCATGTGTTCACTACAGTAAGGGAGGAAGAGAAACAGGAAAGAAATGCTTTTGATGTGAGATATGTGGGTATCTTTTTTGTCATATTAGGCAGCCTTTAACTGCCTGATATAAGCACATATTCAGGCCCTCTAGGAAATGTTAATTAGTGCAGTAAATGTTAGCTTATTAATTGCTGTTGCAATTTTCTTTATCTTGTAAATAGTTTCCTTCCTTCCTTCCTTCCTTCCTTCCTTCCTTCCTTCCTTCCTTCCTTCCTTCCTTCCTTCCTTCCTTCCTTCCTTCCTTCCTTGACTTGGTTTAGTGTGGTCATAAAATCTGTTTTCCTTGTTGTGGATGATGACTGGCAGCTTGGTAAAGCTGTGACATTTTAACAGATATTATGGACTCACTTTTCTGTGGCAAAGCTTAATAATTGATCTGTACAATTTGAGAGAGAAGAGAAAAATCTGAGAGTTTTGAAGTAATTTACAGCCCAGTGCCACATTTGGTGTGTTTTTAATGAGCTTCTGTAGATCTACAGGTAGGGAAAGTTTTCTCTGCTGATGTGCAGGGCAACTTGTCAAGACATCCTGCAGGGAAGTGTGTTCAAAGAAGGTCAGCCCGGGAATCGAACTGCATGAGATGATGCTGTGGTACATAATTGACTTCCTCTGTCTCTGGAAAGTGATAGAAGGCGAGGTTGAGAGGAAGCTGCCCTTTCTCCATTCCCTCTCCTTCTTTCTCACTTTATTAAAACTGCTTTTCTTATATCTCCTTCTACCATTTATCTTTATTTTTTTTGTTTTGTTTTTGCATTCTGCAATCTAAAACTAAATTGCTCACTATGTTGCTTTGGTTGTCGAATTAAGAATATGAAATAATTCTTATAAATATCTCCCCATTTCCAGACTGCTTTGTTTCAGAAGCCATATATTTTTCATCTGTTTTTCTAAGGGCAAGCAAAAATCATGTTCCTCTCCCCAGTGTGATGGCCAGCACTATTGTGTGAAACAGTTTAATCTTGCTATGCTGCAAAAGAAAGTCATATTCTTTGGGATTCTTTGCTGTGAGTGTTTTGTCTGATCCCACTCCTGCACTCAGGAGGACCAAATATAACCACCAATCTCAACAGACTCCCCCCACGCCTGGTAATCAATAACCGTGAACAAAATACGTATTTGTCAAAGTCACAGATTTCTAATATTTCTGTTTATACCAGTTGGAAAAAAAAAGGAACTTAAAATGGGCATGTATCAGTCAATTTAAAATAAATCTGTCTTCATGGTAGGGGGGAAAGTAATTGTACAGAGTGTTCTTCTTTTGTTGTATTTTTAATGTAGTCCTAGGTACCTACTATATTAGACAGTATTGTGTGAAACACCTGCTTCATTCTATCCAGGGAAGTTCAGAAAGTGAACTTGGATAGAATCAGTCCTAAAATCAATTGCCAACAGGGTGACACAGGTACCTTGACAATGCTGGTAAAAGTAGAGGTAGGTGAAGATAGTAACTGTGCAAGGATAGCTAAGGATCTGATTGTTTTTTTCTTTTCGTTTTACTCTTTTGGTGTGTGGGGAAGGCTTCCAGGGCTCTTTTGTGTGGCTGTGTTTATACAAAGGCTGTGCAATGTTCTTGCTGGCCCGGCCTTCTCTTGTATTTTCTCGTTAGGACTTCTGGAAAGACCTTTCCTCAGTTGTTCAGAGGAGGATAGAAACCTGAACATTCTTTCTGAGCTGTCAGTTCTGCCCACAGTGAAAGGGGATGTGGAAGAATAGGAGGCTGAGGGCTCAGCATGCATCTGTCCTGTGTCACATTGCAGCTCACCATGGGAACCGGGTCCCGTGTCGCAGCATAGCTTTCCAATCGACAGAGTGAGAGTGATGGAGTCTTGGAAGTTAGCGATGTGTCTGAGCTTTTCCCTTAATACCCCTGATTATCTGGAAGTTTAAAGGGTTTGGTTTTGAAAGATAATTTTTATAAAGAAAAAATGGTGACAAATGAAAAGAAGGAGATTTGTTTGTTTTCCCCAGAAGGGAAAACATCCTGAGAGATGTGCACTGGCTCTGTTTCCTCAGGCTGGGTTGCTCTCTGGTTGGTAGAGATAGCACGAGATGGACCTGCGGACATGGTGCGTCTGGGTACCATGTGCTTGGGGACCTGGGACACCAGGGTCGTTTATCTTTGCAGCCCACTTCCTAATTTTATTTTTCCATCACCACACTGAACTAGGTACTGACATTTGAATATCTTCTTAGGACTTGCCCAAATTAAAAAAAAAAAATTGCCACCTAGAAACTAAGAGATTATTAATAAATATCTCATACCAGATGTGGGAAACTTTTATGGACTTCCATATCGGATACATCTTTCTGTCTCTGACCAGCCTTCTTCAGCACAGTTACATTTGTGTGCATCAGGCCTTGTGCTACTCTCCAAAGGTGTTCAAACTGCTCTTTCCATTGTACCTCTCCCTGCCCCTGCCTCTTTGACACTGTTTTGTCTGTTGAGTTGACTGATCAAGATTGATTGTTTCAGCTTTCTAGATTTACCCTATGTGTTGTTGGAGCCTCTTTAATACTTGCAATATGAAACCATTATTTATTTTGCATTTAAAATGTAGCCAGAGAAACAGACCATCGTTAAGTCCTAATGTTAATCTAAACTTCTCTGTAGAGGCAGTATCTTTTGTTGATGCAACTCTTGCAAATTTTCACAGTAATATTTTTACGGATAACTGAATGAAAAAAAAAAAAAACCAAACCACAATATTTTGAGTTAATGGCCATTCCAGTGATTTCAAGTAGGGGAAATTATGAATGTGGTTATACAAAGCATAGGCTGGAAAAAAGTTCATTTTAAAGTAAAACTTTATGGATATTACCTGAGTTCTAAAGTGACATATTTAAGACATGGTCATCAAAATGATGTGTCCAACTTTGTAATATAATAAACTAGCTATTCTAAGACATGGTCAGGGAATGGATATTTGGGTTAAACAAACTTGCTCTGCAAAGGGCTGTGTAGCATAATGGTATACTCTATTTTTAGAGTGAAGATCTTATTTGTTTACCTGAGTTACAAGGCTCCTCATATCTTATACAAATGGGAAAATTAGTTGGGCAGAATCATATGTGAATTAAGTTATTGCTATGTTTTGTGTTCCTTCAGGAATATCAGGTGAAATAAATGGGCCTACATGGATAACAGTTTTCAGTGGCCAAATCACTCAGTAAGAAATTTAAAACATTTTATAAATATGGTTATGATTATTACACACACAGGATAAAACCCAATACATTTTTAGAATAATTCAGATTGAGATGAAGTTGAGGGGGGGATTGCTTAAATACTGAGCAGCTCCTGGAGCAATTGATCATAGATTGGAGTTTTTGAAAACCTTCACATAGACTCTGATGAATTGGCTGCTCTAATCTAAATAAGACAATGTGGGACAAACACTTGATGACATGTTGATTTTCAAATCTGATTTAAGAAGCCATATAAATATTAAGGAGTATAAAGAAATTGTCATATGCATATTCAAGTGACATATAACTAAATTTGGTACTGAAAGTGATTTGGCTGAGATGGGAATGTTGTTCACCAGGTTTGCAATATTTTAGGAACTTAAAGAAAGAAAAAAAACCCACATGTTTTCTGAGATCTAATTCTTTTATATGGGATCCATTTGAATAAATGCTCATCTTATTTAACTGGGCCATCCTGTGTATTCCAGCTGCAGAAGAAATGATTGCTTCATTTCAAACTTCCTGACTGCCGTGGAGCCATCTGGCATGTGCGCATGTGTAGGAGTAGGTGAGACTCAAGCTAGCACGAACATCTCCAGCCAGTCTATTTAGCACTTTATATCACACCTGGGTACAGAGGCAAAGCTAAAACGAGTCTTGAATTCCTTCCACCCACGTTTAAGCTCATTCTTTTCTACTTTTTAACTTACATGAAGCTGTCCATTCTTAGGGGAAATAGTTGGAATGGAAAAAAAAAAAACAGCAATCGCAGTTGAGAAAATCTAAATTCTAAAGTGGGCAAGATTTTAGTTCATTTCTTTCACATTTAGAGATTTTTTTCCCCCCGCACTTATTGCTTTTAATCCAGGGAAAAAGGTTTGTGTATGTTTTTTCCCCATGTGCTACTTTGAGCGATGTTCGTATGTTATGTGAAATTATTACGCCAAATGTCTGTAAGAACTTGAGTCTTGGTGTGGATGCATAGTGAGTCTATGGGACCCCAAAGAGAACAACAGGAGGAAGGTAGGAAAGTTAAGGGATTGTTTAAAAACTGAAGAACTAGTAAGGGATGGGCAAATGGGGAATATAATGAGAAATTAGGTGGTTTGAACAGATTGTGTATATGTTTTCCTCTTTGAGACCCATACGATCCCTTTTTAAATATTGCATAGGGGAAAATAATCTTTACTTTCTTTTTAGCTTCTTAACTATGTACTTTCATAATTGATGTGCATTCTTTTAAGCTTAGCTCAGAGAAGAAGGGGTGATATAACACATGATTTCAACATGGTAGCTGAACACTGGCTTTAGATCTCTCTCCCTGGCCAGGTAAGACACAAAGGAGATTATTATTAATGCATGCTATTCATGTTAAACTATATATATTACTACAGTTGAAAGAGTAGATTGGTACAATGCCTAGCAAATCATCTTTCCTCTTTTTAAAAATCATTCTACAAACAAAAACAGCATCTTTTAGAAGCAAAGACCGTCTGGACGTGTGTCTTATGGTGTAAAATGCAGATAAGCATGGCCCAGGGGCTTCCTCTGTCTTGGTTGGTCTTCAATGGAGTTCTGGTAATGCCTGATTCAATTAGTAATCAGAGATGTAGTTATTGCTATTTTGTGACTTTGAGAGTCTTGATTGTGAATTATATTACAGATTGCAATTTCTTTCTAAATAGGGCCCTTTGTATTCAAGGACCTCAAGAGTCTTACAGTCTGCAATAAAACTGAGTTTTCTCTATATAATAATACATCAGACATCATTGTATTTGTTAAGATTTTGGTCAATAGAGCCAGGCAGAATCCATGTAGAGGAGTAATGAATTTGTCCAGATTTTGTTTGCGAGAATAATTTTTTTAGCTATCCTCTCCTGCCCTACTGCAACTGGCATATCTAATGGATGTTTAAAAACAAAGATTTCTTTTTCTTTGCTTTCACACCACCACACTTACCAACACAGATTTGGGTGACCAAAGGTGTATGTGTGTTTCTCCCCATGACCAAGTAAGCAATCAATCCTGCAGCAGACAACAGCTGGGTGTCCTCCAATTCAATTCTGACACTGCCTACCTGGAGATAGCATCAGAGCCACAGGTTAAGGGTTTAGTGCCCAAGACAGCCAATGCTTCAGACTTGAGTCACAAGTCTGGGCCTGCAGAACTTCTGACCATTGGGTTCCTCCAAATCCCCTCTTTGGGTTTGATTAATTTGCTGGAATAGCTCACAGAACTCAGGGAAGCATATTCACCTGTTTATTGTAAAAAATATCACAAAGGGCACAGATAAAGAGATGCATAGGGTGAGGTATGGGGGAGGGGAGTGGAGCTTCCATGCCTTCCCTGGGTGTGCCACCCTCCAGGAACCTCCACCTGTCCGGAAGTTCTCTGAACCCAGTCCTTTGGTTTTTTAATGGATGTTATGGTTGACAACCACATAGAAATGTGATTGGATAAAAAGGGTATGATCTCATACTAATAAACTAAGTGGGGAAACCCAGCAAGGGCTTTCTGTTCAGATTCTTCCTGGCTTCTCTGTGCAGCATTCCTTCCTCTGGGGTAGAGGATCCTCCCCACAATGAGGGTCTTAGGACCTACAATCAGATTAGACTCCTGTTTGGGACAGATGAAAGGAGGGCAGGAGAAGGTTGGAGAGAGAGATTCTGTTTCCTGAAGCCTTCTTCTGAGGACTAAAGTGCCCCAGCATTATAAAAAAAAGACTGTAATAAGAGCTATGGGAGTTAAGAGCCAGGAACTGTGGACAAAAACCAATGTGTATAAATAATCACAATAGCACACTTACAGATATCATTCTAAAATGGAAACATTCCACATTTTAAAGTCTTAAGCTCATTAGTCCATAAAAGTTGAGCCTATCTTTCTGATGACACTGTGCTATGTTTGGTGAGGCATCCCAAAAGAGAAGGCATGATCTTAGTCCTGAAGGAGTTTTCAGTGTTTCGGAAGGCAAGCTCTATACATATTTAAAAATTACTAATTTTAGGCCAGCTGCAGTGGCTCACGCCTGTAATCCTAGTACTCTGGAAGGCCAAGGCAGGAGGATCGCTCAAGGTCAGCAGTCTGAGACCAGCCTGAGCAAGAGTGAGACCTCGTCTCTATTAAAAATAGAACGAAATTATCTGGACAACTAAAAAAATATATATAGAAAAAATTAGCCGGGAATGGTGGCGCATGCCTATAGTCCCAAGCTACTTGGGAAGCTGAGGCAGAAGGATCGCTTGAGCCCAGGAGTTTGAGATTGCTGTGAGCTAGGCTGACACCATGGTGCTCTAGTCTGGGCAACAGAGCCAGACTCTGTCTCAAAAAAAAAAAAAATGCTAATTTTATAAGATATTTTGTGGTTAAAGTGCCAAGCATATGGTATTTAATAAGCAGTTATTCTAAAGGCCTTGTCTCTAAACTGCAGAGTTTAGAATGGACTTATTCTAGGGTGGATCTAAGTGTTTTTACCATGTAGTTTGAGAGCTAGTCTATCTATGAACTGGTACGGACCATTCTGTCACCAGACAATTATGAAAGGTCACTAAAAGCAAAGCAAATACCATCTTCCAGATAGAAAACCTACTGAAAGTTAAAGAGTTATTAAAGACACTATGAGAAGGGTGGATATTTGAGGCTCTCTAATAAAAAAAAAAAGTGCCAAGTAGCAAACATTTAGATATTTCCACACTCATGGCATCCCTGGTATGTGGTCTCATGGAGTGATTCATATTCATAAACTGGTCAGAAGTTGGGGAAACAAAACTGGGAATTTAACCCTTTATTAAGGTCACTCTGCAAGAGAATTTGCCATCAGAAAAACAGTTCAGACAGGTTTGGCCTATTCCTCTGTTCCCAGAAAATATAGTATACAATTCCCATGCTAAAAAATGCATCAAAGAGAGAAACACCAGCTTGCCGACACCCTCATAATGGAGTACGGCCAAGGCAATTGTTGATCTCTTACAGCTTTTTGAAGCAGTTAAGCTCTGAATAGGTCCACCCTTCTGTTATTTAGCCAGCAATCTGCTTCCTTCCAATGAATGGAATAAAAGCTGAGATGCAGAATTTCATTTCTGTTCAAATTAGAAACCTGTCTCCTTATGATCTGGGTCCTTTCCTTCTCCATTAAATCTTCTACTACCAAGGAGAAAATAAAAAAAAAGATCTTGAATATGTAGCATAATGATCATTCCATCAGCTATAAACCTCACTTTGTGAGGTTTTTTTTTCTTTTAATTGAGTATTAGGAGAGCCTAAATGTGAACGCTATAAGCAAATCCATTATTCTTAGTACTGCTACCTATAATTAACACCACCCAATGGAATTTAAAAAATATTTATAAAAAAGGCAACAGAGTAACAATTACCATTATCCCCACTAAACTCCTCCTCCTCTATGTTTTCATCAAGAGAGCGGTGTTGTTACTTCAACAGGCACAGTGTTGTGGTGACTTTTGTGATACAAATAAAGCAAGACTAAAATTTTAATTGTGAAATTTAAAAGGAAAGTAATTGCTTAGTGTTGGCTAATTCCATCTTTGTGCGATGACAGCAGCTGCGTTTCCCTGCCTTGTGTATTTTAACAGATGGCATTATTTCTTATGGAGTGTTACAGTAGCGACCGAGGTGACACTGAAGGAAAATTCTGTGACAGTATGTTAAGTAAGATATTACTGACAGCCCTGCTGAGCGGCGATGCAGAGCTGCACGTTGTGGATCTATTCTCACCTCTTCAGCCCCCACCAAATGGTCTCCATTTGTGGCATGTGGAACCAGAATGGAAAGATGAATGGAAAATTATGTTCTTTTCTCAAATTCACTTGTTTGCATGCCATTAATAGGGATGGGATGAAGACTCAAATTCAGCATAAAAAAGTGCACTTACCAATCCAGTATCATACTAATGTACCTTTCTCCCAAAGGTAGGAAAATGGAGAGGCATCAGTAAAACCCAAGTTTTGGGCCAGGATCTGCCACAAGACATTTTTTCCTCTGGATTGGTTTCCTTTGTGTAAAATGCTGGGGTCAGGCTATGACAAAACAGTCTCCAGGGCCCTTTTTAGCTCCAACTTTCTGTGTTCTGAAAGTCCTGAGCTTTGTAGTTTAATGGCACAGAAGACAAAGCAAGTAGAATGCAGGATGAATACCGGGTTGCCCTGCATGCTGCTGGTATTGATGCAGTACAGAACAAAGACCAGTGGGTCACAAGTCAGGACTTCTGGTCATGATTCAGTCACAAAGCAAGTCCCCGAGTCACCCTGTGTCAGCTTCCTCACCTCCTTCACAAGGCTGCAGTCAAGATCTAAAGGGACTGTGCCACCGAAACATGCTTCTTAATCCAACAAACATGGCACAACTGACCTGTGCCAGACACTGTGCCAAGTACTGGAAAGTCAATGCTGGGAAAAGTGTGGTCCTTATTTCGGAGGAGGATGTCTAGTGGGGAAGAAGAATTGTAAAGGGGTAATTGCAGTAGAATATTGTAGAGGCTTTGATGGGCACAAGTCCAGGATGATATAAAAGAATGTAAGAGGGGCAGCTCACCCAATGGAGGACACAAGAAGGCCTCCAGGAAGAAGTGGATTCTAAGTTAAGGCAAAGCGTAGGCAGAGAGGTGGGGGGAAGAACAAATGTCATGACCAGCAGCTTGTTGAACCAAGGTTCAGAAATCATTATGGTTTGGTTTTCCTTCCTCACTGGTCTTAAAAGTAAGAGACTACCAGCATCTTGGGTCTTGACGAGCATGGAGTGCTATTATTTAACTATTCTGCTTCATTTCTAAAACAAACTAGTTTGAAAGGCTCAGAAATGATATTTAACAGAATACTGTCTTTGACTGTCAGATTCTAAATGTGGGCTTGAGACATTCTCTCCAGGTCTTCCTCTTCACAAAAGCTGTGTGAGTCCCTAAGAGTTATACAGTGTGCCTTAAAGGCAGGTATGGATGGACTGACTTTGATTGGTATATGGAGAAAAATGGTGGTGACTTTCTATATAAATATGAACTTTTGGCTGTTCAAAAATGATCTTTTCTAAGAGAAGGGCTATCAACTTTCTGTTCAGTGAGTAATAAACCTGACTCATTTCCTTTCCCTAATGCCTGACTCTCCTCCACAGTAATGTTTGACATTCTGCAGTTTCATTAAGCTCACCCTCTGAGCAGCACGGCCACTAAGAGAATGATGATCTTCTTCCTGAAATATGATATGCCAAATAAAGGGCAATTCATCAAGTCTGCCATTGTCTGTGCCACTTTCTGTGGAGCCATTTGGAGACTTAAGAGCATTAGGACACCCTTGGTGAGAATGTGGTTAAGAGGGAGA